AAACCCTAAGCCCTTAACGTAAACCCGAAAAGCCTAAAGACCTCAGGGTTTAGGGTTTAGGGTTTAGGGTTTGGGCCTTGGAAATATCCTAGAAGCCTCAAACTTTTTGTTTCTCTTCTAGCACTTGGCTGGTTGACCTGCTGACGAGGCTCCGGACCTAAACCCTAAACCCTAAACCCTAAACCCTAAACCCTGAACCCTAAACCCTAAACCCTAAACCCTAAACCCTAAACCCTGAACCCTAAACCCTAAACCCTAAACCCTAAACCCTAAACCCTAAACCCTAAACCCTAAACCCTAAACCCTAAACCCCAAAAGGGATCATAATTTTGACAACCGACCCTTTTAAAGATCCTCTAACGGAGCAAAGTTTCGGGGATACATTCAATGAGCCGTTTAAGGGGCCCATCCTTAGGGGCACATGCTTAGGGGTCCGAGTAGGGTTTAGGGTTTAGGGTTTAGGGTTTAGGGTTTAATTAGGGTTTAGGGTTTAGGGTTTAGGGTTTAGGGTATAGGGTTTAGGGTTTAGGGTTTAGGGTTTAGGGTATAGGGTTTAGGGTTTAGGGTTTAGGGGGACGCCTTGAGGAAAGGGGCTTGCAGCCGCGGCTGCCGCGAAAGGCCTGCATGGACGTGTAGGGTTCAGGGTTTAGGGTTGAGGGTCCATTGAGGGTTGAGGGTTCATCCCTGTTGGCACCCCTTTTCGCAAAAAAAGGCACTCCTTTTTGAATCCTAGGCTACTGGGCCACCTAGTTTGGGGTTTCAGAGGGGTTAGGGTTTTAGGGTTGAGGGTTTTATGAGGTCAAGGGTTTGTCCCTCTAACCGGAGGTGTGCCCTGGCCGCTGACCTGGGGGGGTAATTTCTTTGGAAGCCCTTTTGACCTAGTTAGTAGGGTTAGTACGTTTGGTTCTGGGATCTATAAAAGGGAATTCTAGGGGATACGAAGTAGACTTCCGAAGTCCAAGGGATTAAGACTCGCACCCCCAAGGTTGCACCCCTAAAGGTTCCCCCTAATATGCTCCTAATATGGCCCTTATAGTAAAACCAAACCTCGAGGATAAAAGGCAAAACAGAAAGGAAACCTTAAAGGTCCAAGGAACAACCCCTAGAGTCTAGGGGGCTTTCAAGCATCTTACCCCCCTGGTTCTTAGTAGGGAATGTGGGAAGTGGGTACCCTACAAAAGCCCTTAAGGACTAATTTCGCCCTTAAAGAGAAAAGGTTTAGGGTTTAGGGTTTCGGGTTTAGGGTTTAGGGTTTAGGGTACCTCATTCCCTCATTCCCTACTGAGAACCAGCAAGCACCCCCCTGCGGAGAGGCAAGGACAAGAAGAAGCACCTCGGCGGGCACCCCATGGCAAGGGGTTTAGGGTTTAGGGCCGGTTTAGGGTTTAGGGTTTAGGGTGTAGGGTTTAGGGTTTAGGGGCCCTGAACCCGAAACCCCTCACCCTAAACCCTACCTGAGATCTCTCTTTGCCTACAGTTTTGTGGGAGTTATAACTCATTAAAGGGTAGTTTCTGCCAAACTGTGGGTCAACACAGTCCCAGGTAAACCTTATCCCAACAAAAAAAAGACCCTAAGCCCAAATTCTCGGCGCAGCCTATCCAGCCCAGCACCAGATCCTCAGCCCTGAGCCGTGAAATCTCCAAAGCCCTATAGGCTTTGATTTGAAACCCTCAACGCTAAACCCTGCACCCTACACCCGAAACCCTAAACCCTAAACCCTAAACCCTAAACCCTAAGCCCTAAACCCTGGGGTGTAAGGCTTCGGGCTCAACAGTGCACACCGAGACCCAGGAGCAAGAAGAAGAAGTCCTCCGGCTGGTGCTAAGAGTGAGAACTTGGGACCCCTGTGAGGCGGCGCCAGGGAGCACAAACAGCCTGAGGTTAGGGTGTTGGCCTCTTGCGGCCCTGAATCCTCCACCCTCAAAGAGGGGCTCAGTGCCTAAGTAATTAAACCCTTCAATCAAAGAGGGGGCTCAGTTCGTGACCTAAGCCCTAAACCCTAAACCCTAAACCCTAAACCCTAAACCCTAAACCCTAAACCCTAAACCCTAAACCCTAAACCCTGTTCCCTGGCAGCCTCAAGAAGCTCATGGCCGGGCCGTCGCCCTCGGGGGATGCTGCGCTAAGCTCGGTTGTCCTTAAGCCCGGACTCCAACCCGAAACCCTAAACCTTCAACCCTTGGCCCTAAACCGTAGGGTTTAGGGTTTAGGGTTTAGGGTTTAGGGTTTAGGGTTTAGGGTTTAGGGTTTAGGGCTTAGGGTTTAGGGTTTAGGGCTTAGGGTTTAGGGTTTAGGGTCTAGTTCTTCCTCATGCAGTGATTTTCCGACAACGCACCTCAACAATGTCAGGGCCAATGTCTTAATCCGTATGTTAAGCTTGAGGAGCGGAGTGCCTTACAATTATAGTTTCGGCTTGACCCCTTGAAATAAGAACTCCAGCCCCTGAACCCTAAACCCTAAACCCCAAACCCTAAACCCTAAACCCTAAACCCAAATTCCTTCAGCTCAAATTCCAGCAGTCTAGCCCCTCAACTTCTCTCTTGAAACCCCCTCCAGCTCTGAATTCGGGAGCCCCCTCCCCCCTTCAGATAGCATCAGCTATCCAGAATGCCGAGACCCTGCGTGTTGCTTATATCCCGCTGGGCACAGCGGCACAGCGCAGCTTTTTCCAACATGGCCCGCCCCATGGAGGGGCGGGCAATGAAGTTGAGCGGCAGGCTGCCCCCACATTTTGCTTCGAAGCACTTCTCTGGCCCGGGTCAAGCGGGGGTTTACGAGAATAGAATAGGGGACCCCTAAACTAGAACACCAAATAGTAGGGTTCCCTGATAATAACAAGGTACCCCGAATGTCGGAAACGCCATACATGACATTGTGAGGTGCCGGAGAAAGTGCCGATGCTGTCACCCGCAGTGTCAACGCTGTGTCCCCGCCAATGCTTTGCCCACGTCGCGCTCGGAAAAGGAGGCTGGGGCCTCCTGGCTCGTTAGGCTTTGCCATTTAGCGTTTGCCTCTGAGCCCTAGATCCTGAACTTCAGAACTCACAACCCTAAACCCTAAACCCGAAACCCGAAACCCTAAACCCCAAACCCTAAACCTAAACCCTAAACCCTAAACCCTAAACCCTAAACCCTAAACCCTAAACCCTAAACCCTAAACCCTAAACCCTAAACCCTAAACCCTAAACCCCGGACATCCTGCCGCAGCATTCGGCCTGAGCAGTTTTCCCCCGACTCGATATTGCCTCCTGGTGTTGCGACCGCCATGGCTCAACCGGCCACTTTGCTCTCGAACACAGGTTTTTCGGCATTAGGGTTAAGGGTTTCGGGTTTAGGGTTTCGGGTTTAGGGTTTAGGGTTTCGGGCCAAGGGTCCATATGTACCTAGATAGGGACTGCTTGGGCCTTAGATGGCCTCCTGTTTAGGGACGTAGGGGTCCAAGAAGATAAGAATGAGGTACATGGACCCTTAGGGTAGGGTTTGAGGTTTTGCGGTGCAACATATTTCGGGCTGGGTAGAGGGGGCGGGGACCCTAAACCCTAAACCCTAAACCCTAAACCCTAAACCCTAAACCCTAAACCCTAAACCCTAAACCCTAAACCCTAAACCCTAAACCCTAAACCCTAAACCCTATACCCTATACCCTATACCCTAAAGCTCTTTTGGCGATGTGGGGTCAAGAGTTTTTGCTTCCTTGCGGGAAGCGAAGGCCATGCTCGGTATAGTGACCTCGCCCAGTGATTTCCTGCCCTTGGATTTTCTTGTTGGGTTTGGGGCTTTACAGGGTCTAGGGGCTTTCTAGGGCTTCCGGTTGAGAGGGCTTAGGGTTTAGGGTTTAGGGTTTAGGGTTTGGAGGGTTTAGGCTTTAGGCTTCCGAGGGCTTTCGGGTTTTAGAGGGAGGGGGTTTGGGGCTTGGGCCTCGGCGGCTCGCCGCCCCGAAAGCGCGTCGTCAGGGCCTCCTGGGCCTCAGAAGCAACCCTCAACTCGAAGCACTAAGACTTTAGCCCCAGAACCCTAAACCCTGAACCCTGCTCCCTGAACCCTGAACCCTGAACCCTGAACCCTGAACCCTGAACCCTAAACCCTAAACCCTAAACCCTAAACCCTAACCCCAGAACCCTAAACTTAAACCCTGAACTGCCCTCAGTTTCCCAAAGCCCCAAACCCTAAAACCCTGCCCAGATCTTCCAAAACCCCTTAATTAAGGAATATACCCGCCGAGGTGATGACGTATCCTGCTGGGACCCTCGACTAATCTTGAGCCCTGCTGAAGCAGGGCGTGGGGTCACACGTACGTATATATATATATATATATATATATACACAACATATACATGCGCATCAAAAGTATGTGTATACGTATATGAAAATATGTATATGAACATATGTATATGAAAATATGTATATGAAAATGTATATGAACATGTACATGTACATGTACATGTATATGCATGTGTAGGTGTATGTGTATGTGTTTGTACATGGGGAGAGCATCCAGACTCCCAAAGCTCACCAGCCCCCAGGCAGCCGCAGCCCATGCAGCAGTACCTCCAGGCGTGAACTTTACGGGGCTTGTCTTCTTACTTGGCGGTTTTAGGTTTAGGGTTGAGGGTTTAGGGTTTAGGGTTTAGGGTTTAGGGTACTTGTAACCCCAATTCTGGGTCTACTTATAGCCGACTTGGAGGACTTTGCAGTTCTTTGTGGGGTTATAAGTACCCCGAACCTTCAAGTATGCCCGAAGCACTTTGCTCATGCGCTCTCACAGACCAAGCTGGGAGCGAGAACGTCGGGGGCCGTAAGCCCGAAACGCTCAGACTCCAACCCTGCACCGCAAACTCTGGCCTGTGATCCTGTTGCGGCTCGTGCCCCCAGGTCTTCCAAAACCCCTGAATGAAGGAATATACCCCAATTCCTAGTAAGGATCCTGAGTATGAGTTAGGGTATATTTATTTAAGGGGTTTTGGAAGATCTGGGCAAGGGGCCGCGCCACCGAAACCCCGATGAGCCCGAAGCCCTTCCGACGGCCTGCGCAGTCGGCTGGGCAGTACGTGCAGCAGTTCCAGCAGGGTATCCCGCAGGCCGCAAGGGTGTGGGCTCGGCGTTCTCAAGAGTTTCGAATGCAAACCCTAAACCCTAAACCCTAAACCTAAACCCTAAACCCCCAGCCTTGGTTGCCCGGGGATTGCGGCTGAGGGATTTTTCCGTGTCTGATCAAGCTGAGCCAGATCCTGACCCCATGTCCATGCAAGCAAGCCTGCATGGCCCTGTCTTTGAGCTCCCTAGGTTTAGTAGGGTTTAGGGTTTAGGGTTTATAGGGTTTAGTGTTTAGGGTTTAGGGTTTTGGCTTTAGAGTTTAGGGTTAGGAGCTTGCTGAGAAGGTGTGCGCTGTGCATGGGATTTCTTGGCAGGCCCAGTCCATGGTGGTGAGCGGCTACAGAGCCTTTGCGGCATGTGGCCACGGTTGGGCGCAGAGTATGGCAGGAAGGGTGTAATGACACAAGAGCTCCTATACCATTATTACAGGGGTTTGGAGGAAAGGCAATAGTTAAGTGAGTTGATGTATGAAGAGACTATACGAACACAGTAGCAGAACGAAGTGAATCCATGAAGAACCAGCGTGTTTCAGGGTTGCCAAGACTCCCCCGAAAGCCCCGACCAACTCCCACGAGTCGATCGCCGGCCCAGATCAATTCCAAACTCAGCTGCAGTCGGCCGGAGCCCAGCTGCAATCGGCCCTCGACCACAGCCAGGGCAAGTGGCCGGGAGCTCAATCTCTTCTGCGGAGCGTCCGGACTTTCAATGCTTCATACGGCCTTCATAAGCCCTGAGGTTCGCCCCGGGCGAGGCCCTTCCCCCGGGCTTCCAGATCACCTCGCACCCCGAGGGGCATGTGGAGCCCCAGGCGCCTTGGGGGGGGGGGGGGGGGTGCTTCGCACAATCCCCAAGCTCTGAAACCCAGATGCGACAGCCTGGAGACCCAAATCAAGAGGTTCGCCTCACCTCCCAAAGCCCCCAACCCCAGTAATGCCCTAAACCCTAAACCCTAAACCCTAAACCCTAAACCCTAAACCCTAAACCCTATACCCTGAAGGCCCACCATGCCATGTCCGACGCCGTGGCGTCCTTGAAGGGCATGCCCGGCGACTTGGACACAAACCGCCCAAAATACCTCTAGAGGGTTTAGGGTTTAGGGTTTAGGGTTCAGGGTTCAGGGTTTAGGGCTGTTCGGCTTAAGTGTGGGAGCCCTATGAAGTGCCAACCCTGTGACCGCCAAAGCCCGGGACCCTAAACCCTGCAGCCAAGTATCAAAAACAAGCTCTAAGCCTTCCCGCCCACCCACGACACGCCTGCCCAACTACCCCAAAACATTCGAAATCAGTGCCTAAGCCAACCCAAGCCACATAAATACCGAGCCGAAGCTCCCAAACCCCAAGCCCTCCCCGGCCCACCTGCTCAGGCAAGCTTGGCTCCGCGCTCGATGACGCCGCCAAGGCTGCTGCGAAAGGCCTTGGCGTCGAGGGTTTTGGGGCTCCAAAAATCTGAGGTGCACCACGGCGCTAAAGAACCCACCACCCTGATGTTGGGTAACAGATGGGTCGGAAGAGTTGCTAATCACGTTCCCTTGTGGTCCCTTTGTAATCATAGCATAAGAACCCCCCACAACCCTATTCTAATTCTTGTGGGCCTTATAGCCCTAATCCCTAAACCTCAAACCCTAAACCCTAAACCTTATAGTATCTTCCCCTGCTGTGAGGCAAGGACAAGAAGAAGCACCTCGGCAAGAAGCGATCTACATGGCGCCAGGGGTCAGCGTAGCCTATCAACCAACCCGGACCCGACCTCTAAACCCTGAACCCTTGAAACTGGGTTTTGGAGCACTGTACTTTAATACTCTTTTTGGTTTTGGGTTCCTATCATAGCTCCTTATACCTAAAACGTAAGAACTTTTTTCAGGGTCTACTCCAAAGTAGGGGACCCCGACATCCGAATCCCTCATTTCTCCACAGCCTCTACACTCGCCACATAAGTCCGAAGCCCTTAGCACGAAACCGGGGCCTCAACAACCAACCCACCCAGGAGCAAGAAGAAGAAGTCCTCCGGCTGGTGCTAAGAATGAGAACTTGGGACCCCTTGAGGCGGCGCCAGGGAGCGTAAGCAGCCGATGGCCTTTACGGTCCTCAACCCTCAACTCCCAACCCTCAACCAAAGGGAAGCTCAGTGCGCAGTGACCTACGTCGTGTGGCTGGCGGTTCCCTGGCAGCCTCAAAGGTGTCACAGCCCTGCCGTCGTTTGGGATGTTGTGCTGCGAGAGCAGCCTTGGTTCCTACAACCCCTATCACCTATGCGCACTGCAAACAGCCTATAACTCTAAACCCTAAACCCTAAACCCTGAACCCTAAACCCTAAGCCCCACACCCTGAACCTTCAACCCAGGCTCAACCCCTGTCCTCAACCCTTGAGGCCCTAAAGCTTTGGGGTTTAGGGTTCAGCACAATGTTTCCACCATGCCCGTCCCATGGAGGGGCGGGCGTGGGCTTGACCGGCAGGCTGTCCCACATTTTGCTTCGAAAGCCGCTCTCCTGCGGGAAAGTAGTTCATTGTGTAGCTAGTGAAGCCCTGAACAAAATCCACGTAAATTTTCTGGGGTGCCGGAGAGCGTGCCGATGCTGTCACAGTAGTGTCAACGCAGTGTTACCGCCAATGTTTTGCTTGCATCGCTCGAAAGAAAAGGCTAAGCCCCAAGCCCTAAACCGAACCCCCAACCCCGCAGCCCAAACCCCAAACCCCAACCCCAAACCCCAAACCCTAAACCCCAAACCCCAAACCCGAAACCCTGTCCATCTTTGATGCCCTTGAATCGAAAGCCCTGCCGCAGCTTTCGGCGCCTGAGCAGTTTTCCCCCAACTCGATCCGCGCCCTACTCGTGCCACGATGGCTCAACCTGCGGCTGGCTCTCGAAGACAGCTTTTCCGGGATGCTAGGGTTTGGGAGTTTTAGGGTTTCGGTTTAGGGTTTAGGCTCCAGGCTTTCGGCTTTAGTCTTTAGGGTTTAGGCTGTAGTGTTTAGGGTTTAGGGGGTTTGGGGGGTTTAGGCTTCAGGGTTTTCGGGGGGATTTAGGACTTGAGGGTTTCGGGCGCAGGTTTTTTGTCTGCAGAAGCCCCAGGCCTACTGCAGTAGATTTCTTGCTGGGTGCGCATGTGGTTTGTGCACGAGCATGAGAGCTTCAGAAGCAGTCGTCTCAGCCCCAAGACGCAAAGCCCACACCCAAAGCCGAAAACCCCAAGACCTGACTGACCCCGCGCAAAAAACTTCAAGCCAACACCCAACACCCCCTGCCCTCAAGAAGCTATCCACCCCCTCTAAACCCTACGTAAGCCCTAGACCCTCAACCCTAAGCCCTAAACCCTAAACCCTAACCCTAAACCCTACACCTCAAACCCCGAACTATGCACCCCAAGAAGCCGCCCCAGGTCATGACATATCCTGCTGCGACCCTCGATTTATTATGGGCCTTGAATCAGCGTTCAGGGCTTGGGGTTTACATAGGGTTTAGGGTTTAGGGTTTACACAGGGTTTATGAGCAACGCGTTTCGACGCACTTCGGGCAATCAGTTGAAGAGCTGGCTCACGTTGACAGAGTGGCGGAGAGAGGCATATCGAGAAACTCCCAAAGCTTCGCACCCAAGGCAACCGCAGCCCATGCAGCAGTATATCCAGGCATGGCTCTGCAAATGTGCTGCAAGTGCGGCAGAAACTTTCAGGGCCGTGCATCCTGTGGCACGATTCCAAGGCACTTTGCTAAACCGGTGTTGACGTTGGGAACCCCCTCAGCCTGCGCAGTCGGCTGGGCAGTACGTGCAGCAGTTCCAGCAGGGTATCCCGCAGGCCGCAAGGGTGTGGGCTCAGAGTTGGTTTTCAAGAGTTTTCGCTTGCACGTGGCACCCCCCTGCCCCTTCCCTCAGTTCCCCAGGATTGTGGTTGAGGGTTCGATGCCAAAACGATGTCGACGACTGCCAATGCCCATGCGTCTTCGGCTTGTGACATACAGTATAATCTGCGAACGGCGAAGAACCGTGTCTGCTCAAACTGAGCTAAACCCTAAACCCTAAACCCTAAACCCTAAACCCTAAACCCTAAACCCTAAACCCTAAACCCTAAACCCTAAACCCTAAACCCTAAACCCTAAACCCTAAACCCTAAACCCTAAACCCTAAACCCCCCATGTCCAAGCCCAATTCTGGATGGCTCCATCTTCGAACTTGTCAAGTAATGGGGCAGACAGCGGCCTTGGCAGGCTCAGTCCATGGTGGTGAGCGGCTACAGAGCCTTCGCGGCATGTGGGCGCTTGAGTCTTGAAGGATTTAGGGTTTAGGGTTTAGGGTTTAGGGTTTAGGGTTGAGGTTTAGGGTTTAGGGTTTGTGCAGTCGTCGGTGTGCAGTCGTGCCCACTCCCTGACCACCCAACCCTGCGCTCCAAAAACACTGGGTCAAGACTTCAGGTTGCGCGGAGGCCGTGCTTCAGGGTTCCCAGTACTAGGACCGGTTGGGGTTCCCTTATCATCCCCTTAAAATTCAAAAAGGGCACCCTTTTTTATTCCAAGGTTACTCCTGGGTCTAGAGCAACCCTAAACCCTAAACCCTAAACCCTAAACCCTAAACCCTAAACCCTAAACCCTAGACCCTAGACCCTAAACCCTAAACCCTAAACCCTAAACCCCCCCCAAACTCCCATAGTTAAGTCCGCTGGCCGGCCCAGATCAATTCCAAAGCCAGCTCCAGTCGGCCGGCGCCCAGCTGCAATCGGCCCTCGACCACAGCCAGGGCAAGTGGCCGGGAGCTCAATCTCTTTCTATATCCCCTTGGGAACTATTTTTTGTTTTTGTTCATATAAACCCAAGAGGATATTTTAGAGCAATAGATTTCGATTAAGGCTCTAAGAGGAGTATAGTCTTGGTTTGTTGATACTTCGTACAGCACAAGAAGCCGTAAGCAACGGAAGAGCGGGCGCCGAGGTTCGCCCCGGGCGAGGCCCTGCCTCCGGGCTTCCAGATCACCTCGCACCCCGAGGGGCATGTGGAGCCCCAGGCAGGGGTGCCTAGCACGGGCATTTAGGATTTAGGGTTTAGGGTTTAGGGTTTAGGGTTTACGAGTGCTCAGCACAAGCCCAGTCAAGGAATCAGGAATTCGCGCCTCATCCCTAAACCCCAAGCCCCAATGCCCCGAAGGCCCACCACGCCATGTCCGACGCCGTGGCCTCCTTGAAGGGCATGCCCGGCGACTTGGCTCACACGCAGCTCCTGGCGGTTTCAAGTGAATCCCATTTTCGCCCGTCCAATCTTTCTCAGGTGGAATACAAACATTCGAACTCAGTGCCTAAGCCAGCCTAATCCAAGTAAAAAATCAAGCCGACTCCCCGCCCCACCTGGTCAGGCAAGCTTGGGTCCGCGTTCGATGACGCCGCCAAGGCTGCTGCGAAAGGCCTCGGCGCACCCCCCCCCCCCCCCCCCCCCCCCCCCAAAAAAAAAAAAAAAACTCCTCCAAGAATCTGAGGTGCACTCTGGCCCTAAAGAACCCACCGCCTTAATGTGGGGTATCTTCCCTGGTGCGAGGCAAGGACAAGAAGAAGCACCTCGGCAAGAAACGATCTACATGGCGCCAGGGGCTTCGGGGCCAGCGTAGCCTATCAGCCAAGCCGTCCAGGAACCAACAAAAAAGACCTAAACCATTCTAAGCCCATGAAAGCCCCTATCCCGCCATCCAAACCCCAGCATCGCCAGACGCACCCTAATTTTTACAAGCACTACAGTGAACCCTGGCCTCAAAGCAATCCGCCCAGGAGCAAGAAGAAGAAGTCCTCCGGCTGGTGCTAAGAATGAGAACTTTGGACCCTGTGAGGAGGCGCCAGGGAGCATAAGCAGCCTTATACGTGTCTTGATGGCCTTTACAGCCCTCAACCCTCAACACTCAACCCCTAAACCCTAAACCCTAAACCCTAAACCCCTCAACCCCTCAACCCCTCAACCCCACAACCCTGAACCAAAGAGGACTCAGTGCGTACTTGAAGGTTCATGGTACTTATTAACCAATTATAACTGTACTTATAACTGTACTTATAAGCCCCTTAAGTGCCCTAATAGAGTTATAATGTGGGTGATAAGTACAGTTATAGTTGGTTACTAAGTACCAGGAACCTCCAAGTAGCGACCCTAAAGTCGTGGTGGCTGGCGGTTCCCTGGCAGCCTCAAGTGGTCACAGCCCTGCCGTCGTTCGGGATTTTGTGCTGAGTTCGGGCTGAGAGCAGCCTTTGTTCCGAGAACCCTATGACTACTATTTGCTTAAGAGGCCCCAAAGAACAAGCGATAGTAATGCCTATATTTCACTTGTACGGAAGATTGTTAGTTTTTTTTTTGGGGGGGGGAGGGTTCTTAGGCAAGTAGATCGAACTACTGAGTCAGAACCAACACAGCCTCTGAGCCCTGGCACTCGAAAACCCTAAAACAGCCCTGGACCTTCAACTCGCACTTCTCGAACCCTCTTGTGTGTTAGGGTTTAGGGTTTAGGGTTTAGGGTTTAGGGTTTGGGGTTTAGGGTTTAGGGTTTAGGGTTTAGGGTTTAGGGTTTAGGGTTTAGGGTTGTTGCCCGATCGGCCGCTGATGTGCAAGCGATAAGGCCCGCAGAGCCATGTAGCTACTAGCAGCGCGGTTTAAGGGTTTACTCGGGTTTTGACCAGCTAACATCTGCAACGCGGTCGAGCTTCTTTGGCTTCGACTTCACGTTGTTTTGAATCCCTCGGTCCTTCTGCGCTCAGCACAAACTGTTCCGCCATGCCCGCCCCATGGAGGGGCGGGCGTGGGCTTGACCAGCAGGCTGCACCGCATTTTGCTTCGAAAGCCGCTCTCTTGCGGGAAAATTTCTCATCGTGTAGCTACAGAAGCTCTGGAAAAAATCCCACGTGAATCTTCTGGGGTGCCGGAGAGCGTGCCGATGCTGTCAGCGCGGCGTCAACGCCGTGCTACCGCCAATGTTTTGCTTGCATCGCTCGAAAGAAAGGCTAAGCCCCAAACCCTGAACCCCAAACCCCAAACCCCAAACCCCAAACCCCAAACCCCAAACCCCAAACCCCAAACCCTAAACCCTAAACCCTAAGCCCTAAGCTCTAAGCCCGAAGAAAAGGCTGCTACAAGCATAGATTTTCATCAAGGGCCTCGGGCCGAGATCGCCGTCTGGCCTGAACCCGCGCCGGTAGTTCACGCCCCATGCTGAGTTCATGCGGTGCGATGCCCTCCCCCCACCCGCCCCCTAAACCCTAAACCTAAACCCTAAACCCTAAACCCTAAACCCTAAACCCTAAACCCCAAACCCTAAACCCTTGTAAAGCCCGAAACATCTCTGATGCCCTTGCAAGCCCCATCTCACTGGCGGTCGCTGCACTTGGGGCTTGAGGGATCCATTGTCTGATGGCTTTGGGGCGCGCTGGGCTCATAGGGTGGAGCCATGAGCCCAAGGGGTTTAGGGTTCAGGGTTTAGGGCTTAGGGTTTAGGGAAGTATCCCTTGGTAGTCCAGTGGTACCCTTTGGGCCCCTCTTTCTTTGGTTCGGGGTCTCCCATATTAGGGTACAGGGCAACCGACCAAACAAGGGCACCCCTTATCATATGAAGCAGTGTTCATGTTACTGTTTTTGGTGAGTTTATAGAAGGTTCCTTTTGAAATCTATACCCTAACATCATAGAAGATGGTTGCTTGGGCTCCAGGATCCTCAGCCCGGAGGCTTTGCCGCAGCTTTCGGCGCCAGAGCAGTTTTCCCCCAACTCGATCCGCCTCCGTTGTGTCGCGACCGCCATGGCTCAACCTGCGGCTGGTTTCGAAGACAGCTTTTCTGTTCGGGGTGTAGGGTTTGGGGTTTAGGGGTTTAGGGGTTTAGGGGTTTAGGGTTTGAGGGTTTCGGGCGCAGGTGTTGAGTGCTTTGTGGTAGGGGGGTCATCGGGTTTGGGCGTTTTGGTGTTGAGGTGGTTTGGGGGGGGTTAACATGCTTGCTTGCAGAAGCTACTAGCTTGTTGGCCTTCGCAATTTGTTGGATTTCTTGTTCGAAAGCTACATCGCCATACCCCAAAGTCTACACCTACACCCATCAATCCGCCGAGGTGGTGACGTATCCTGCTGCGACCCTCGATTTATTCTGGAACTTGAGAAGCAGGGTTCAGGGCTTGGGGTGTACTTATGAAAAATCGTGTTTCGAGTGCGTCCGAAGCACTTTGCAACTTTGGCAGCAAGTTCAAGCTCTGGATCAGGCTGACAGAAAGGCAGAGAGACATAGTATCGAGATATTCCCAAAGCTCCGCACCCAAGGCAGCCGCAGCCCATGCAGCAGTACATCCAGGTGTGGCGCTGCAGTGTGCCAGAAGTAGGTTGCAGAAGGTTTCGGGGCCACTTCCGGGTTCCGTGCCGGCAACATGTCGCACGATTCCAAGACTACCCCAAGGCACTTTGCCACTCCACTCCGGTGTTCCCTGCGTGAGACCTATAAGCCCTTCCTGACAGCCTGCGCAGTCGGCTGGGCAGTACGTGCAGCAGTTCCAGCAGGGTATCCCGCAGGCCGAAAGGGTGTGGGCTCAGAGTTGGTCTTTAAGAGTTTCCGCTTGCAGCACTCCATAGCACCCCTTGCCCCCCCACCCCCTTCATGGCTGAGGGTTCCTCTCTAGATGTCAAAACGATGTCAATACGGCGGTCAATGCCCAAGCGTGTTTCGCTGTGACATACAGTAGTCTGCTAAGTGTGACGAACTGTGTCTGCTCAGATGGGACAGTGCCGTCAGACGCGTGAGCTAGGTCTTGATCCCATGTCCAAGACCAATTCTGAATAACTCTGTCTTTGAACTGCCCAAGTCTCGTGGCAAACAGGCTCAATCCATGGTGGTGAGCGGCTACAGAGCCTTCGCAGCATGCGACATACCCAAAGAGCCCAATGCCCCTTAATCAAGGAATATACCTTAAATCATATTAAGGATCCCTATATGAAGCAGGGTATATTATTGTTATTGGTGAGTGTATATAAGGTTCCTTTTTAATATTGGTGAGTGTATATACCTGGTGTCCTTTTGGGGGTACAAGAAATATATACCCTACTTCATATGAATTAAGCAATATTCCTTCATTCTTGGATGTTGGACTCTTTGGGTAGAGTCTTGAGCATTTCCTGCAGTCGCCGTTGCGCAGTCGTGCCCAGCACACCCTACGCTCTAAACCATGGGGGGTCAAGGTTTAGGGTTTGGAGTTTAGGGTTTATAGGGTTTGTAGGGTTTGTAGGGTTTATAGGGTTTATAGGGTTTATAGGGTTTATAGGGTTTATTTGGTTTTTAGGGTTTATAGGGTTTATAGGGTTTAGGGTTCAAGGTGCAGGAAGGTTGGCTTTAGGGTTGCAAGCCTACCCCGCAAATCCGATCGCCGACCCAGATCAATTCCAAAACCAGCTCCAATCGGCCGGAGCCCAGCTGCAATCGGCCCTCGACCACAGCCAGGGCAAGTGGCCGGGAGCTCAATCTCTTGGTCCTTTGATGCTTCATACAGCACAAGAAGCCGTAAGCAAAGGAAGAGCGCACGCCGAGGTTCGCCCCGGGCGAGGCTCTGCCTCCGGGCTTCCAGATCACCTCGCACCCCGAGGGGCATGTGGAGCCCCAGGCAGGGGTGCTTAGCACAAGCCCCCAAAAAATCAGGAGTTCAAACCCTAAATCCTAACCCTAAACCCCAAGCCCCAATGCCCCGAAGGCCCACCACGCCATGTCCGACGCCGTGGCCTCCTTGAAGGGCATGACCGGCGGCTTGGACACAAGGGGCCCGAAATGCCTACTCGATTTCCCTTACTGCCCGAAGCCCTAAAAATAAGACAAACTCTATGAGCCCTCCCCCTCCACCTGCCCACCCGCGACACGCCTGCTCAGGCAAGCTTGGATCCGCGTTCGATGATGCCGCCAAGGCTGCTGCGAAAGGCCTTGGCGTAGGGGCTTTGGGGTTTTGAGTTTCGGGTCGGCCCCCCCCCCCCCCCCCCCCAAGACGCGGTGTGCACTCTTGGCCCTAAAGAACCCTCTGCCCTGATGCGGGGTCTTCCCCTGCGGAGAGGCAAGGACAAGAAGAAGCACCTCGGCGAGAAATCCTACGTGGCGCCAGGGGCTTCGGGGCCAGCGTAGCCTATAACTGAGCTGTGTAGGAACTGGAAGTCTGCCTCAGAACTCTAAACCCATCAAAGCCCCAATGCCGACATCCGACCCCCAGCATCGCCAGATGCGCTCTAAGTCCTACAAGCACTAAACCCTGGCCTCAGACCAATCCGCCCAGGAGCAAGAAGAAGAAGTCCTCCGGCTGGTGCTAAGATGCTAAAATGAGAACTTTGGACCCTTTGAGGCGGCGCCAGGGAGCAGAAGCAGCCTTACATGGTGGCCTTGATGGCAGTATCCCCGAACCCCCAACCAAACAAGGGGGGGCTCAGTGTGTAGTGACCTACGTCGTGTGGCTGGCGGTTCCCTGGCAGCCTCAAGTGGTCACAGCACTGCCGTCGTTCGGGACGCTGTGCGCTCGGGCTGAGAGCAGCTTTGATTCCCCAAGCCCTCGCACCACCGAACTACTGAGCCACAGAGCCTCCAAAACCCCAACCCGCCGGAGGTCCTGAACCTTTCTTTTCCAACTCGCACGCTCAGCACAGCTGTGTCCACCCTGGCCCATCCCGTGGAGGGGCGCGGGGATGAACTTGACCGGCAGGCTGCCCCACCTTTTTGCTTCGATCTGGCGATCTCCGGCTCAAAGAAAATCACGCTGTACTATCCTATGGGACCCATTCCCCCTTTTGATAGGGTTTAGGCTCCCTCACAAAAAGCCCCTTGAGGCTAAAGAACGGGGCACTTGTTAGATTCCTAGGCTTACTCTTGGGTCTAGTCACTTAGCATGTGGGCTTGACGTGCTTTAAGGTTTCTTGGTAGCGCAATGGTACCCTTTTCCTATTTTTTATGGCTCAAGGTTCCCTCATCAAGTAGCCAACACCAAAAAGTGTGCCCTTATCATAACATGGTTACTGGACTATCCAGGTTTATTGGGTGTGAGGTGCCGGAGAACGCGCCGATGCTGTCACAGCAGTGTCAACGTAGCGTCACCGCCAATGCCTTGCCTACAGTCCTCGCAAAAGGACAAAAGGCTGCTACCTGGCTCGTCAGGCTTTGCAACCCAACCCTATAAACCTTAAACCCCGGTAGCCTCTTAAACCCCAAAACCGTAAAACCCTAAACCCGAGGCCCTCGTGCTTTCAATTCAGTGTTTGCTTCTGAGCCCTAAGCCCTAAGCCCTAAACCCTAAACCCTAAACCTTAAACCCTAAACCCTAAACCCTAAACCCTAAACCTTGAGCCCCAAACTACGAGCCTCGGAGCCACCCCCAAAAGCCGGAGACTTTGCCGCAGCTTTCGGCCTGAGCAGTTTTCGCCCAACTCCATCCGCCTCCGTTGTGTCGCGACCGCCATGGCTCAACCTGCGGCTGGCTCTCGAAGACAGCTTGTCCGTTCGGGGGTTTACGTCTGAGGGTTTGAGGGTTTAGGGTTTAGGGTTGGAGGTTTCTGGCGCAGGGTTTTTGGGCTTTGTTATAGAGGGGCTAACATGTCGTCGGGTTTGGGCGTTTGGGGTTGAGGTGGTTGGGGACATGCTTGCCTGCAGAAGCTACTAGCTAGTTGGCCTGCACAACTTGCTGGATTTCTTGTGCGAAAGATGCATCGCCATACCCCAAAGTCTGTATCAATCCGCCGAGGTGGTGACGTATCCTGCTGCGACCCTCGATTTATTCTGCGGGTTGAGGTTTACGTAGGGTTTTTGAAGCGCGTTTCGAGTGCGTTCCGAATCACTTTGCAACTTTAGCAGCAAGTTGAAGCGCTGGCTCACGCTGACCGAGTGGTGGAGAGAGACATATCGAGAGATTCCCAAAGCTCCTCACCAAAGGCAGCCGCAGCCCATGCAGCAGTACATCCAGGCGTGGCGCTGCAATGTGCCAGAAGTAGGTTGCGGAAGGTTTCGGGGCCATTTCCGGTTTCCGCGCCGGCAACATGTCGCACGATTCCAAAACTACTCCAAGGCTCTTTGCTAATCCGGTGTCCCTAAACCCTACACCCTACACCCTAAACCCTACATGAGACCTAAGCTCTTTCGACAGCCTGCGCAGTCGGCTGGGCAGTACGTGCAGCAGTTCCAGCAGGGTATCCCGCAGGCCGCACCTGTGTGGGCTCGGTGGTTCTCAAGAGTTTCAGTGTAGGGTTTAGGCTTTAGGGTTTAGGTTTTAGGGTTTGGGGTTTAGGGTTTGGGGTTTAGGCTAAGCCGCAAGCTGCTTGCACGTTGCAGGCCCCGCCCCCATTCCTCAGTTCTCCAAGATTGTGGGGGTTGAGGTGCTGTTCTAGCTGTCTTAAGACGCAGACCGCAAACTTGGCAGGCTCAGTCCATGGTGGTGAGCGGCTACAGAGCCTTTGCTATATCCCCCTTGAGAATTATCTTTATTTTTGTTTATATAAAACCCAAAAGGATACAATTAGCAATATTGTTTTTATTAAGGTTCTACGGGGAATAGTTTGCGGCATGTGGGCGCAGAGTACGAAAGGAAGGCGATCGTGTTCCCCCCCTCACCCTCCCAAGCCCAGACCCACTCCCACAAGCCCGATCGCCGGCCCAGATCAATTCCAAAGCCAGCTGCAATCGGCCGGAGCGCAGCTGCAATCGGCCCTCGACCACAGCCAGGGCAAGTGGCCTGGAGCTCAATCTCTTTGGCCCTTTTGTGAAATGGGTTGGGTTTCTTTGGTTTGTGTGTGAGCACCGAGGTTCGCCCCAGGCGAGGCCCTGCCCCCCGGCTTCCAGATCACCTCGCACCCCGAGGGGCATGTGGAGCCCCAGGCAGGGGTGCTTAGCACAAGGCCCCCAAAGAATCAGGAGTTCAAACCCTAAACCCTAAACCCTAAACCCTAAACCCTAAACCCTAAACCCTAAACCCTAAACCCTAAACCCTAAACCCTAAACCCTAAACCCCAAACCCTAAACCCTACCGAAGGCCCACCACGCCATGTCCGACGCCGTGGCCTCCTTGAAGGGCATGACCGGCCACTTGGACCGCACCCAGCTCCTGCTTGGAGGTTCATGGTACTTAGCAACCGGGATTCGATGGCTGCAGGGGTTTAGGGTTTAGGGTTTAGGGTTTAGGGTTGAGGGTTTAGGGTTTAGGGCTGTACTTAGTAACCAATTATAACTGTACTTATAACCCAAATTATAACTAGATTGGGGCACTTAAGGGGCTTATAAGTACAGTTAGAAGTACAGCTATAATTGGTTACTAAGTACCATGAACCTTCAAGTGGCGTTTTAAGACGGACAAGCCGCATCTCTTCCCCCGTATAGCCTGTCCATCCTTATCAGATATAAGAGAAATATACACTACACAGTTTTTCAAAAAAAACCATGCTGCACCCACAAAATCAAGCCGAAGCTCACGAAACCCTATGCCCACCAGCCAAGTCTCAGACCAACTTAAAACCCTCCCTCATTCACCCACCCACCGCCCACTGGCCCAGGCAAGCTTGGATCTGCGTTCGATGACGCCGCCAAGGCTGCTGCGAAAGGCCTCGGCGTAGGGCGTTTTGGGGTTGGGGGTTGCCCCGAAAATCGCCTCCAAGAATCTGAGGTGCACCCTGGCCCTCAAGAACCCACCGCCCTGTATTGGGGCATCTTCCCCCTGACGAGAGGCAAGGACAAGAAGAAGCACCTTGGCGGGAAGCCCTACGTGGCGCCACGGGGCCTTGGGTTTAGGGTTTAGGGTTTAGGGTTTAGGGTTTAGGGTTTAGGGTTTAGGGTTTAGGGTTTAGGGTTTAGGGTTTGTAGCCCATCAGCCAAGCTGTCCGGGGACGAGCACTTAACCCCCAATCCCGACATCCGAACGGCCGCTTTTCCAAGCTTAAACCTAAACCCTAAACCTTTTCCCTAAACCCCAAGCCCCAAACCTTAAACCCTAAGCCCTAAGTCTAGACCAGGCATCGTTAGAGGCATCAGGTCCTGGAAGCACCACGCTGGGTTTGGAGTACTATACTTTAATCTGTTTTTTTTTTTTTTTTTTTTTTTGTGCTCTGGGTTCCTACTCTAGCTACTTATGCCTTATATATACATAAATACATAAATATGTATATATAATATATTTTCTCTATACATACATATTTGTTTACTTGTTTGTTTTGTCCAGGGTCTACTCCAAAGTAGCACTAACAACCCTGGCCTCAGACCAACCCACCCAGGAGCAGGTTTCGTGGCTTAGGGTTTGGGGTTTTAGGGTTTAGGGTTTCGGGTTTCGGGTTTTAGAGTACGCACCACCCAGGAGCAAGAAGAAGAAGTCCTCCGGCTGGTGCTAAGAATGAGAGCCTTGGGGCCCTTTGAGGCGGAGCGCCAGGGAGCTGAGGATGCCTTGCGTGGTGTTGGCGTTTGCGCTCCTGAATCCTCAATCTAGGGTGTAGGGGGTTTAGGGTTTAGGGTTTAGGGTTTAGGGTTTAGGGTTTAGGGTTTAGGGTTTAAGGTTCAAAGAGGGGCTCAGTTCGTGACCCACGTCAGTTTGGCTGGCGGTTCCCTGGCAGCCTCAAGAAACTCATGGCCGGGCCGTCGTCGTTCGGGATGTTGTGCTGTGCTCGGTTGCGCGACAACTCGAAACACCCATGCCCTTGAACCCTAAACCTTGAGTCAGTTGAGAGTGCACGGTAGCTTTGGGTTCAGGCTTCGAGACGTATGGCTGATGCAAAGGTGCAGCGCGCACGTACAGAAACCGCAAGCAATGCGGTCGAGCTTCTTTGTCTTCGACCAGACCCTAAGAAAGGGGCCTTGAGAATTAGAATAGGGTTTTGGGGGGCTACTATACTATAGTTATAAAGGGGCCATCAGGGAAAGAATATATAGTAGCTACCCAGATCTTCCAAAACCTCTTAGTTTAAGGAACATACACCTTTTCATACTGAGGATTCTTGTCATGAATTAGGGCCTTAGGGTATATTCCTTACAATTAAGGAGTTTTGGAAGATCTGGGTATTCCGACCCTATATTACGCTTGCTTGCATCCGGCTGGGCACAGCACAGCTTTTTCCACCATGTCCCCGCCCCGTGGAGAGGCGGGGCTTGAACCCAGGGGCTTCCATACCGTACCCCTTAGATTAAGGAATATCCCTTAAACTTTACTAGGGTTCCTTGTATGGTTTAAGGGACTATTCCTTGAACTCGACTATAGGGTACCTTACATGGCTTAAGGGATATTCCGTAAATTATACCATGGGGTTCCTTATATGGCTTTAGGGAATATTCCTCAGTTAAGGGGATTTCAGTTGACCGGCAGGCTGCCCCAACATTTTGCTTCGGTTCGGCGATCTCTGGCTGGGAAGCACCACGCTTTTCTGGGCCCTCGAAGCTCTAGACAAAGAAGGGTTTAGGGTTTAGGGTTTAGGGTTTAGGGTTGAGGGTTTAAGTGCCGGAGAACGTGCCGATGCTGTCACAGTAGTGTCAACGCAGTGTCACCGCCAATGCTTACAGTCCTCGCAAAAGGACCAAAGGCTGCTACCTGGCTCGTCAGGGCCTAAACCCTAAAACCTAAAACAGCAAAACTCTAAACCCTATTGGCCTACAACCCTAAACCCCAAAACCTAAAACCGCAGAACTCTCAACCCTCGTGCCCTAAAGCATAAGCCCAATCGACTCACGGCCACGGACCTCATCTTGACCCCTGTTGCCCGCATTGAGGGCTTCAGAGTGTGAAGGTTTAGGGTTTAGGGTTTCGGGTTTCGGGTTTAGGGTTTAGGGTGCCCAGAATTTATCCTACGAGCCCGGATTAGCCCTTGAACCCTCTGAACTATCCTAAATGCCGCAGCTTTCGGCCTGAGCAGTTTTCCCCCAACTCGATCCGCCTCCGTTGTGTCGCGACCGCCATGGCTCAACCTGCGGCTGGCTTTCGAAGATGGGGTTTTAGGGTATAGGGTTTAGGGTTTAGGGTTTAGGGTTTAGGGTTTAGGGGTTTGCGGGCTTAGGGTTTAGGGGTTTGCGGGCTTAGGGTTTGAGGGCTTAACCCCAAACCCGAAATCCCAAGACCCCCATACCCCAAAACCCTAGAACCCCCAAAACCCTAGAACCCCCAAACCCAGAACCCCAAAACCCCTACAACCTCAAACCGCGGAAACCCTAACACAGCTTTTCTGTTTGCGGGCGGGTTGTGGTGGTCGTTTGCAGAAGCACCCCGAGACCTAGTAGAGGGATTTGCTGGCCCTGAACCCCAAACCCGAAGTTCAAGGTTCAAACCACGAACCACAAACCACAAACCACAAACCACAAACCCGAAACCCGAAACCCGAAACCCGAAACCCTAAACCCTAAACCCTAAACCCTAAACCCTCGGTGTTTGTGGTTTGGGCTCGAGTCTGGGATCTCCGACAGCTTGTCAGCAAAGCGTCTGGGTGTACCCTAAAGATCCATGTGGCAAATCTAGCGCGTTTAGGTTTTAGGGTTTGGGGTTTGCGGTTTGGGGTTTAGGGTTTAGGGCTTAGGGTGTGGGGCCCTAAAGGGGTTCCTGCATAGTAGCTTTGCGGGCAAAATAGTGTATCCGCCATAGGTGCATTGGATCCTTAGGGGTCGATTTCGGGCTGAGGGCCTCGCCTGAAACTCTTAGCCCCAAGCCCAAGCCCTTAAACCTTTACCTAGGGTTTAGGGTTTAGGGTTTGGGGTTTAGGGTTTAGGGTCTAGGGTTTAGGGTCTAGGGTTTAGGGTTTAGGGTTTAGGGTTCAGGGTTCAGGGTTTAGGGTTTTAGGGTTTAGGGTCCCCCAAATGCTTAAACCTTATACCTACACCCTCAACCCCAAACCCAGTTTAGGGTTTATGGGGTTTGGGTTTCATGAATTTAGGGGGGGGTAGGGGGCTTATGGGGTTTGTGGGTTGATGGGGTTTTCTTAGGGGGTCAAGGCGGCTTATTGGGGTTTGTCGTGGGGTTGATGGGGTGTATGGTTCGTGTTTAGGGTTTTGGTGTTTTGAAGGTCACACCATACCCCTCAAAGTCTGTACCCGCGCATCCGCCGAGGTGATGACGTATCCTGCTGCGACCCTCGACTTTTTCTGGGCCTTGAAGCAGGGCTCACGGTAGGGGCCCTTCAGGGAGGGTAGGTACCTAGCCCTAAACCCTAACTCCTAAACCCTAAACCCTAAACCCCATTGCTGGGAGTGTTTTTCAAGCCTTGAGTTACATACAGACCCCCTTGAGACCCCCCCCTCCCTCCCTCCCTCAAGAACCCTATATTCAGGGCTTGGCTGTGAGAACCCTAAACCCTAAACCCTAAACCTTAAACCCTAAACCCTAAACCCTAAACCCTAAACCCTAAACCCTAAACCCTAAACCCCTAAACCCCCTCTAAACCCCCTAAACCCCCTAAACCCCCCAAAACCCCCTAAACCCCAACCCCCTAAAACCCCGCTAAACCCCCTAAACCCCCTAAACCCCCTTACCCAAGGCAGCCGCAGCCCATGCAGCAGTACATCCAGGCATAGCGCTGTTGCGGGGGTTTATAAAACTCAGGGATTTTGAATATAGACGCCCCAATAGTAGGGTTCCCCAGTAGGGACCCCAACGAGGCACCTCTGATTTCGGAAACCCCCTGAACACTAACCCTAAACCCTAAACCCTCAACCCTCAACCCTAAACCCTAAACCCTAAACCCTAGACCCTAGACCCTAGACCCTAGACCCTAGACCCTAGACCCTAGACCCTAAACCCTAAACCCTAAACCCTAAACCCTAACCCTTAACCCTTAACCCTTAACCCTATACCCTAAACCCCCTAAACCCCCTGTCCCCCCTACACCACATGCTGCCCTGTAGGCCCTAGAATATAGCCCCGTGAGGAATTATTTCTTATCTTGTTTCATCAAAACCCCAGAAAAAGACACAACAAATCGTATGTTTACTAAGGTTCTAAGGGGAGTTTCGCAAACGGGTATAGTAAACGGGTTGGAGGATCTATTCCCCAGATCTTCCAAAACCCCGTATGTAAGGAAAATACCCTGGCTTCTACTCAGGATCCTTATTCTGAATTAGGGTTTAGGGTTTAGGGTTTAGGGTTTTGGGGTTTGGGGTTTTGGGTTGGGGTTTAGGGTTGAGGGTTTAGGCAGCCACAGCATCAAGGGTCGAGGGTTCAGTGTAATACCTGCACTCGCCCTGCAGTGTTCGGGACCGTCTGGAGCTCTTGCGGTCTAAGCCTCAATCCTAAAGCCTGGCTTTCAAAGACCAAGATGGAGTGAGTGAAAGAGCCCTAAAACACGAAACGCTGAGACTTAAACCTTGCACCACAAACCCTAGCCAGTGATCCTGTTGTGGCTCATGTCTTAGATCTGGCGGCGGCAGCCCTCGTCCTAGGGTTTAGGGTTTAGGGTTTAGGGTTTAGGGTTTAGGGTTTAGGGTTTAGGGTTTAGGGTTTAGGGTTTAGGGTTTAGGGTTTAGGGTTTAGGGTTTAGGGTTTAGGGTTTAGGGTTTAGGGTGAGCCCTAAGCCCTTCTCGACACCCTGCGCAGTCGGCTGGGCAGTACGTGCAGCAGTTTCAGCAGGGTATCCCGCAGGCCGCAAGGGAGGGTGTGGGCTTGCAAGTAAGCAGCAAGCCGCTTGCACGTCAGGCCCTCCCCCGCCCCCCTCTCCCCTCCTTTCCCTTTTTAGAGGTGTCAGGACGACGTCAGTCAATGCCCGTGGTTCTTTTTGTGTGGACTTAACGTAAGATGCAAGCTGCTAGACGGGACCGTTCGGCGTCCCTGCGCATGGGCTAGATCCTGACCCCATGTCCCAGCGAGCAAGCCTGTCTGGCCCCGTCTTTGAACACGGCTTGCTTAGAAGGTGTGCATGGGATTTTTGACAGGCTCAATCCATGGTGGTGAGCGGCTACAGAGACTTAGCAGCATGCGGCCAAGGGTGGGCTTCCATCGTGCCACAGGAAGGGGTGTACTTGTAGCGCTTCAGAATTTCCATGATTTCGCCCAAAGAGCAGACCAACTCTCCCGCCCAGATCAATTCCAAAACCAGCTGCAATCGGCCGGAGCCCAGCTGCAATCGGCACTCGACCACAGCCAGGGCAAGTGGCCGGGAGCTCATTCTCTTGGTCTGGATTGTTTCTGGACCGCGACACTTCGCACAGTACAATACACCGTAGGCAACGGAAGCGCACGCCGAGGTTCGCCCCGGGCGAGGCCCTGCCCCCAGGCTTCCAGATCACCTCGCACCCCGAGGGGCATGTGGAGCCCCAGGCAGGGCTGCTTAGCACAAGCCCAAAGCTCTGAAATGAAGCAGGAGGTTCCCTCATCCCAAAACCCAATGCCCCGAAGGCCCACCATGCCATGTCCGACGCCGTGGCC